ATTATTATTTGTTCAGTTCATTTTGAGTTTGACTATTATTATTATTATATTTTCCCACAAATATTTATGTGTTATGACTTTTTTTTCCTTTTTTTGCACTTTGTAGTTGTTTTGCTTTCACAGAGAAGCAATGGAAGAATTCAATAGCAATTTGATAACTGCTCTGAAAGTGCAAATTTTGCACTTTCATAACACATAAAGTAGTTGCTAAAATTTGAATATCGATCAAAAAGCTGAGAGTGCAACCAAAAGTAACAGAACTTCAGAGAAGACAAAAGAGGCAGAAATTAGCACATATCATAGAGAGTAAATCAATTATTTCAGCTGCCACAAGGAACTGAGTGAGGGAGTGAGTGAGAAAAGGAGTGAGTCAGGGAGGGAGGTAGGGAGTAATTTAAGAGAGATCACGTAAAATGGACATAATGTCAGAGAGTTACAAGTATTATTGCACAAGAACACGACACAGGGAGGAGTCTATCCCATGTGATCAAACTCAGTCAGTTGTTTGAGTGGTAACGGATGGGCAATTTATTTATTCATTATTGGTGTGGTTGGCTGGTCGGTCGGTTGGTTGGATGGATGGTTGGGTTGGTTGATTGGTTGGTTGATTGCTTAGTTGATTGCTTGGTTGATTAGTTGCTTAGTTGATTGCTTGGTTGGTTGGTTGGTTGGTTGGATGGCTGGTTGGATGGCTGAAAAGGAGTAATAATTTGTTGAGTAGTAAATAATACTTCCCGTAAGACCGACCTGAGGATTGGTAGAAACTGTAGTATTCAGTTATGACATCTCGCATACTGTTTTTTACTGTTATTTTAATAATTTTTTTTATTAATAGGTGCGTTGTTGTATTTTTTTGTGACTAGGGACAGCAGAACGTTTATAAATTATTTTTTAAGGTAATAATTTTTAATTATTGGAAAGCGACGACAATTTCAGCTGGCATCTACTCACATGATTTGGGCGATTTCCTCCTGAATTAACACGTTGTATGTTTTATTTTGTTATTTCGAATTTTACTTCGCTCATTTTTGTGCTTCATGTTATGAGGAAACAAAATAAGATGATAGGAAGTACCAAATAATTACGTTTCTTTCATTTATTTAACAATCGTATTTCAGAAGTGAGAAGAGGAAATCGCTAGAAACCTTAATTTTTGAAAGTGTTGATGAGGCCAGAGAATGGAGGTCCTCGGCAGCACGAGGACGCAGCGTTTTTGTTGTCCAAAATGTAAGTGATGTAATGGTATTTATGTAACGTAGATTGAAAAGTATGAAAATAAGATTGTGATTAAATTCATCCCATTTTTATTTTTTCTATTTTATTAATTCACATGAAAAACACCAAGTTTTTTTGTTGTAGGAAGATGTAGAAATCTTTAAAAAAAAACAATTCTTGATAAATTTTGTCTATATTTATACTTACGGGCCTTTGCCTTTGACGCTACTGTAATAATATGTTGTACGCTTTCTTTGGATTTGTGAGTCAATAAATTTGATAATTTTTTGCTCAAATTTATTAAAATTTCGTATTTTCAGGGTTAACGCATTATTGGAAAAGTCTGATGGGGAGAAATCTACATTAGTAAGTTTTTTCGTATTCGGCATAAATATCTGAAGTGGTAAAAGGTGAAGTAGCTATAACGTTTAACAATGAAAATTAATTGCGATTTATTAGTCGAACATCGTATCATTATTCATAAGTTGTTGC